TTTTCCCCCCCCCCCCCCCCCCCCCCCGGGGTTAATGACCACTTCTATTGACAAGGTGTTGAGTTGAACCATGCTCCCTACTGCTGCTAAGCCTGAGTGATTTGTCAGTTTTATTTTTCTGATATTTTTATTTTGCATTCTTTCTGATTCCTATATTTTCTTCTGGATATTGCTTGTTTGATTGCAGAAACTGAATTGATGAAGGAAAGGTTTGCTAAGCTGTTGCTAGGAGAAGATATGTCAGGAGGAGGGAGGGGAGTATGTACTGCTCTGGCTATCTCCAATGCCATTACTAATCTTGCTGGTTATTCACAAACCTTTCTTTCTTGTCTTTGTTTTTTATTATAGTTAGACCAATAATGTTGCTGTTTTAATTATATACACTTATTAACTTCCACAATAAATGGACAGCTACTGTGTTTGGGGAGCTCTGGAAGTTGGAACCCTTGGCCCCACAGAGAAAGTTGATGTGGCAACGAGAGATGAATTGGCTTTTATGTGTGAGTGATTCCATTGCGGAGCTCATTCCATCAGTTCAAGAATTTCCTGGTGGCAGGACCTTCAAGGTTATGATAACTCAACCACGATCTGATATATATGTGAATCTTCCTGCCCTCAAGAAATTAGACGCAATGCTAATCAGCATCTTGGATGGGTTTCATGACACTGAGTTTTACTATGTTGAGCGTGGGATGGGTGTTGCTGATGCGGAACACATTGAAGCAAATCCTTGTTCTCCACTCTTGCAGAGGCCTTCCATATCTCTTGAAGAAAAATGGTGGCTGCCTTTCCCAAAGGTCCCACCAAATTCTTTGTCTGAGGAGACAAGAAAGCGACTGCAACAATGCCGGGAGTGCACAAATCAAATTTTCAAAGCTGCTGTGGCAATCAACAGCAGTGTGCTGTCGGGGATGGAAGTTCCACAAGTTTATTTGGAAAGCTTGCCCAAGGTAAGAGGGCTTTATTTTTCCTGCTCTTCCAATTTAGTTGTGATTAACCAATATCATATGGATATTTGATGTCTTTCAGCTCTTTCCAGTGTCAAACTTTGATCCTGTCATATATCAAACCATGATTGTTTTCTTTCTTTTTTTTGGGTTGTGATTATCATGATCATGTTCTCCGGTCTATGGGTGTCTTGTAAACATGTTAAAAGGAAAGAAGACTAAATTAAGCCACATGTTTGGCCCC